AACATAAATGTGTGTTGGAAGTGTGTACACATCCACCCCCGATCTGCTTAAATGCGTCTATATTCGCGCGAATCATTCGTGATCCAGCTTCATCTACAGTAGAAGTGAGTATAAGGGTTTTTTATGAATCTTTGCAAATCGCCTTTCCTAATAACGTGCTAGTTAGCAAGTTCCGTAGCTAAAGTAAACAGTATCATGAGAACGGCTCGTCACCCATGGAAGAGAGGGGCGGGGTCAGCAGAGCTCATTAGCATTTAAAGCAACATGGACTAGAACCGCGTGCTGAAAACAAAGCTGATTTTGACAGGGTAAAAAGGGTGTTTTTTACACTACCATTGAGAAATTTTAACTAAAGTATGTGGAAAATGGGCGTCCGATGACCCCTTTAACTGAAAGTGTGTATACACTACTGTTTGAAAATACTTTTGTTCAGCAAGGGCATTTGAATTGATCAAAAATGACAGTAAAGACATTTATACTGTTACAAAAGATTACTATTTTAAATTCTATTCATCAATCTCAAATTCTATTCTAGTCATCATGGTTTCCACAAAAATATTGGTAACACTTTAATATAGGGACCAATTCTCACTATCTACTAGTTGCTTATTAACATGCCTATTATTAACATATTGGCTGTTTATTAGTACTTATAAAGCACATATTCTGCATGACCATATTCTACATCCCTAATCCTACCCAATACCTACAATTAACAACTACCTTACTTACTATTAATAAGCAGCAAATTAGGAGTTTACTGAGGCCAGAGTCATAGTTAATGGTTTGTTAATAGCGAGTATTAGACCTTAAAATAAAGTGTGACCAAAATATTAAACAGCACAACTGTTTTAAACTTTGATAATAATAAGACATTTCTTGAGCACGAAATAAGCAGATTGGACTGATTTCTGAAGGATCATGTAGTCTGGAGTAAAAACACTGGCATTATCAAAACTTATGAACTCTGAATTAGACAAATAGTAACCCATCATCATAAAACCATTCTATTTATAATTGTGAGGTCTTAGTCACAGGGTTTGCTCTATTTTACAGGTATTCTGAAGCCATACCAAAGCTTTGTGCGAGGAGTAGACAGACATTTCAGTGAAAAAAACCCCAGATAAGTCACTTATTGTTACTTCTGCTGCATCTCTCAAATCAAATTATGCTCAAATCAAGCTTATTCTTCAGGTTGGACATCAGTATCATCATTAAACATCAAACAAATATCACTGGTTCGTGTAACTAATAATAATGCCGTCAAACCTGCATTATACAGTATTTGATTTGAGAGCCACAGAAGAGGTGAAGATTATTGGTACAAATGAACAAGCACTTACTAAAACATGTTACTTGCTGCTCACGTGCTGTTCTTGTTATTAACCTCATAAAATCTACCCAGAAAAATGAAACCAGATAACCCAGGATTATGTTAATCAAGTGCGTCTTGCATGATATCAGCTTTGGAAAAGTGGTCCAAAGTCATCTTGTCTTAACCCTCATATTCTTATTTTGTTCACATCAGGGTCATTTACTTTAAATGTGTTTATCTTCCATAAACCCATTTCATAATAATATATCCTCTTTATGTGCAATAGAAGAGCCCTCTGCGAATACCGCTGGCCTCTTCTAACCCAGTCACTTCTGATCATGGTGGGAAGGGAGTGAATCATGAAAGATTATGCCTCTCCAAATCCCTGTAACTAATGCCAGTGTGTTGTCTTCCTTCCTTGCATCCGTGCGAGACTTGATTGACAGCGAGGCGATATCTTCAAGAGGCTCCACACGCCAGCCTCTTCATTCTCCGTTTCCTGCCATTTTCTTAATGGACACTTAACTCCTCTAGCGCTGGTCCTAATAGTCCCTCATTCTATCATCTCATCAGCCCCCTCAGAGGCGCTCCTGTCGATGGAAACACGAATGGCAGTTTTAATAAGCCCCTATGTTTATCCCGCTGGAAGCGGGGTTGCTGTTTAATGCGTTCCTCCGTCGCTTGTGCCGTTAGAAGTGCAAAGCTCATTAGATCTTGATATTAAACACCGCTGTGATCCTTCCGCTGTGATTCTGTGAAAACTCCAATCTCTTAGCGGTGTTCATTATGGACAGGAAGATGCCCTTTCCTTCTTATTCCGCCTTCGCTTCATGCTGGACTTGCAAATCTGGTGTCCAGCATGCCGTACATGCGAGTCTTTTCCTCTAATCAATGCTTCTCTTTCCACCTGCACACTCGAGGCGGATGGGATTGGTGTTGAGAAGGGGTTGGCACTGTTCTGTTTATTTCTGTGATTTTCTATCAAGGTGTCAATCAAAGCTTGACCCCTGACCCCACCTGTGTGCTGTAAGGAAGCTCATTCCCTGCCTCTTAGTCTCATACATCTGCTGCATTCCCTATGGAATTTCCTGTTTACATTTGAAATAACAGCCATACAAAAAGTATCTTGTCTGTTGATTCAGTGAATAAATCAACATGTTACTAAAGTTTGATTCCTTTTAGGGTGGTACACAAGAATTTTGGCTTACACTTTATTTTAAGTTGTCCTTGTTACATTGTACATATACATTTAAGTATTGAGTAATATGAATTAACTACATGTACTTTCCATATGGGCAGGGTTAGGATTAGGGTTTGGTTTAGGGTTACTTGCATGTAATTATGCATAATTAATTGTTATTATAATATTTTTGTAACATCATAGATGTCTTTACTGTCACTTTTGATCTTTCGATATATTTATTTAAAAAAAAAAAATGTGTATATATATATATATATATATATATATATATATGTATGTATATATTTATAATTACATTTTTAAATATTATAGTAATATATTATTGCAGTAGTGATTATATGTACTAAACTTATAAACATATATAGACAAACATTTATAAGTAAAAAAATTATATTTTTATTTAATATTCATTATATTTTAAGTAGATTGTATTATAGTTGTATTGGGATAACCAGTAGTAAATGTTATGCATGTTTGCATTTTACTAGAGTTTCATTCATTTCATTTATTTTGACTGTTATGCAAACAATATTATAGGCAATATGTATGTTTGCATAAACACCAGATACTCTGTTGTAAATTTTGCAAACGTGTCAGTGGTTACACTGCAGTTCTGTAAATCCGCACCTTTTTAGTGCGCCTGTACGATAAGACGTGTCTTTTACAACGGTGACAGGATGTGGCATGTTCACTGAGTCAGAAGAAAACGCCACAGACCCCCCCCCCCCCTCTTCTGTGGCACTGAGACTTGACAGGATTTGCTTTCATTATGAAGTCATCACTGGATGTGACAGAAAGACATCATGGGGCACAGCGTGCGAATTGGTCATGAACAGATGAACCGAGTCTTATACATCACTGCTGTCTTGTTGTGCTGTAGCAAATGTGCTTATAAAGTGATTTGATTTTGAATTTCATCCTTTTTCTCCACAAAAAGCCATTTAGTAGACATATATCTGAACGAAACAAAATTTTGGCGGAAAATAACATAGGGATGGACTTGCTACACCGGTCTGATTGTAAAAAGTGTAACATGGATGCTGTGACACCATTGGCTGATATTATTTTACCCATCCTGAATGGCTTGTTACATTATAGCAGAAAAAAATATTTCAGTTAGAACGTATTTAAGGTTTAATATAGAATTATGAAGAGTGAAATGGTGAGATTTTACTGTGGCCTGTACTTTGCAAAACATGGACATTTTTATTATAATATAATTTAAATATAATTTTATATATTTTATGATATATATATATAGAGAGAGAGAGAGAGAGAGAGAGAAGTTAATTTTATTAAGAAATATATATATATAATGTAAATTTCTAAATATTATATATTAATATATTAGAGTATCGTCCCATTGCTTTTTAAAAGAATGGGTGGATTTGATGTTTTTTAGACTGTGATAAATAGAGCAATTTTGGGCTATGTTTTCAGTCTTCATGCTGGTTGGAACAGGAGCAGCCTGCCCTTAGCAGAGGGTCAATTATGTCATCCCATGTGGCTCTGTATGGTTGTGGGAACATCGTTTCCCTCCATCATCAGATGAAAGAAGCTTAAAATAGCCCATTTACTGCCCCGGGCAACCCAACATTACAGCCACGTGAACCTCTGTGTGGAACCTTCAAGTGCAAGATTGAGGAACAGCACTGTGTTTTCACTGTTTTTGCCAGCAGTAGAGCAAGTGCATTGAGGACGAGCAGAGACCTTCATAGCCAGAATACATATTTATTTTGTTTAGGCAGAGAAAATACTGTTCAGAGAAAAGGAAACAAAAAAAAAACACCAAAAATAAACTTTTTTTCGTACAGTTGGCCCTCACACAGCATAGAAAGAAAGAGAAGAACATAAAATCAGCAAATATATGGATGTCCTTCACTGAAAGGAGCATTGTGTGCCAACAATTGAATTATCCACACCGTTTAGGGTGAGTTTGTGTGCGACTTGGATACCCTTTAGGTCATCGGCTGGCATTTTAGTTGGAGCTTTTGGCTGTACTAAGACAGTCGTAGTTGTGCTTCATAAACAAACAAACAGAACAATAAGCAACGTGTGGGCGGTGGAGAAAATGCCTCTGGTTATGATGAGGACAGACTTGAGCAACAATAGAACAGGGTTTCTAGATAAAGAGAATTCAACCATTCTAAAAGAAAACACTTGCAGGTGACAATCATTGCATTTACTCAGTCCTACACACCAAAAACAGAAAAATACTAGGGGGAAGTCTATAAAATCATGCAGATGAAGTGTTTTGCTTGGTTTGGGGGTCATTGAGCGAGATTGCAGCCCAAGGGCTCAATTAACATTTGATTGGGCTGGCTGAAGTCCTTCTTATCATCTAAGGGCAGAGTTGGCTTTCTAAAGGGAAATGAGGTTCGAAAACACAGGCTTCGTTAGTAAAAGGCAGTTTCGGACGAGAGATTTCTAGCTAAATTTGAGGTTTTTGCAAAAGAAACTTGCTGATTTTTTTTTTTTTTTTTTACATTTAAAAGTATAAAATCAGGTTTGGTGATTGTGTAGGAGACTCTCTGTTACATTAATGTATAAGAATATAATTTACTTTGATTGTAATTAAAATCACAAGTTAGAGAATATTACTCATCAATCTTCTAGCAGTTCAGTTTCTTAAGGATTAGCTGTGTACCCCATTTTTCATTTCGATGAAGGCAATTTTAAAATGTCAGAACACAATCTTCCTCCTCCTGAGCTTTATTACATTTAATCAAAACTAATTCAGCACAGCAAATAATAATATAAAATCATAGTTGGCAGATTTCTGTAATAGCACAGAAACAAACAACGAAGAATAAAGAAGAAAAGATGAGAGAGGAGAGGCCTGTCTAGTTGATCTGGCACAAGGGAACACTACAGTCCAGATGCAGGTGTCCTTCTGGCGACTTCCTCTCTGATTACATGGGTACGGTCATGGCGGCTGTTGGGCACGTAGGTCTGAGGTCACATGTTTTTGTTGTTGTCATGGTGATGGCACTGGCTGCAAGCAGGTGGATCCAGGAAGGGAAGCTCCTGCTCTGTGCTGTGGAGCCGGAGCACTCTGGAGTTCAGGTCCACACAGCACTGCAAGAGAGAGCAGATCACTGCATCACATCCGGTGTATTATATCAGTTATTCTATCTATCTATCTATCTATCTATCTATCTATATCTGTCTGTCTGTTGCTCTATCTATCTGTCTATCTGTTGCTCTGTCTGTCTGTCTATCTATCTATCTATCTGTCTATCTGTTGCTCTATCTATCTGTCTGTCTGTCTGTCTATCTATCTGCCTGCATGTTGCTCTATCTATCTATCTATCTATCTATCTATCTATCTATCTATCTATCTATCTATCTCTCTCTGTCTGTCTGTCTGTCTATCTATCTATCTATCTCTGTCTGTCGTTCGTTCGGTCTGTCTG